TATTAAGAAATTATTAATAATTGGGCTTCAAAATTATCAAGGCTTGTTTTTATTTCAACCTTCCTTTTCATATATTTATAATATCATAAATAAGAATATTATATAATATTAACTTTCTCTCTACATAGTATCTCTATTATTTTAATAAAGAATAACCATAGCATGTTATTTCCTATCTCCCATTTCCCCCTTTTATTATATATAAGTTAATAATATAATATGGATTACTTATTATCTTCAATACGTAATTAATTCCATGCATGTAACATATAAATAAAAATAAATTACATGTCCATTTAATAAAATTATATTGAAAATTCAAAAAAATACCTCAAAGGCATTTCTTATTTTTCTCATCAAGTTTCTCATAATCAATGAGTTCAAATACAATTTTTGAGATTACCACGACTTCTTCATTCAATTCTTTGACAATAGAATCAAGATGGAATTAGATCTTATAATTGTTATAAGAGATAACATGATATGTGTCATTATTTTTTTTATAAATTTCTTTTTCACATAATAAACATTTCCTTAAATTGTCATTATCCTTAAATTGTAGAGCATTAAAACTCTAAATTATAGCACAAATAAAAATTTTTTACAAACAAATTATTATTATTAATAGAATTCGCTAAATACCTAAAAGATCAAATGTAATAACTTATAAAATTAGTCAATAACTTAAATAAGTCAATGATAGTTACCTTTTATTGGAAGTAAAAGGTTCTGAGTTTAAATTGTATGGCATGCGAGTATGACATGCAGGTAGAGTGAATTAAGGGATTGAAAATGATTGTCTCCCATTGTGCAACTAAGATTTGAAAAAAAAAAAACAAGGAAAAGTTATAAAATTACCTTTTCATCGATCAAAAACATTTTAGTGGTTAGATACTTTCACAATTTACATATTCACACTTTAATCTTCCAATCTTCTTTATTGAGTGAAATTTGATCAAAAAATACATATTCCATATCTTTTGCAATTAATTTACCTCTATATAACAAAGTATTAAAATTAGAGAAAAGATGAAACATAATTAGGGAAAAATGAAATTGATGATTAAAATCAAATACCTATTCATATTAAGAAAATGCAATCTAAGAAACTATACATTGTAATCAAATACTAGACTTAGAAAAATCTCTAAAATAAAACAACAATAAAAGAAAACTTTCTCACTTATAACTAAAATCTTTTGAAAAAAAAAACATATGGAGTTTAAATAGTGGGCACCTAACTTTTCAAGATCTGAATTCCATTTGTTTTCTTTTCTTTTTTGAATATTTAAATGGCATTGCCTTTTCATCTACCAAAATATGAACTGGTCTTAAATATTATTAATTAATATGCTACAAAAAAAAGAGGAAAATGTTCTTACCTCTTTGTCTACCAAAGAATGAATCGATCTTTCAATATTAATAATTAATCATTAACATTTTATTTATTTAAATTATCTTCAGTTATAGTTGAAAAATTATTTAGCCTTGATTACATATAATTAT